CGCGGGGCATGTCCTGGCCCTCGGCAGCTTTGCCGCTGCCTCTCTCCATGCCCTGCGTCGGGGCGGTGTCGGGTTCCTTCTGCCCTGTTCAGGTCCCGCCAGCCTCCCTTCGCATCCTTGTGAACTCTCGCTGAAGTCCAGTAAGGTTCAAGGGTTCCTAAAAAGGACCTTGTTATTTAAAATACTTGAGTTCTAAATTTAAATACGAATGGGAACCCCTCTTTAACCATGGAAGTACCTAAACTTAGTGTCTTTAGTTTTGTGAGGTACCTGAGTTCTAAATTCAAATACAAATGGGAACCCCTCTTTAACCATGGAAGTACCTAAACTTAGTGGCTTTAGTTTTGTTTTTGTGTGTTTGTTGGTTTGGGTTTTTTTTAACAGAATCATCAGTGAAGAATACGTGTACGCCATGGGTGCCCCGGTCTGTTGTGGCCTGAAAAGCAAGCAGCTAAATCGCATAAAGTATAGACACCAGGTGTGAGTTACTGAGTGTTTATCTCTCATTTGCCACAGGAGAAGAGTACCCCAGGCTGGTTACCATGGTTCAGCTGATAGAAGGTAACTTAATGAGCTCTATTAATTTGCATGTGTATCTGATTCCCAAGATCTGGCACCAGAAGTAGAGCATCAATGGGGGAATATGACTCTTTAGTTTAGCAGCTAGAACTCCTAGGTAACTCAAGTCCCTGTTTCCTAGAATGTTTTATTTCTTTTCACTTAAAGTTACCGGTTTTAAGTGGCAAGATTTTCCTGGGATAGGAAGTCTCAAACCCAGAGCTAGTTTTGTGGTGGTTTTTTTGTTTGTTTGTTGGGGCTTTTTGTTTGGGTTTTTGTTTTGTTTTGTTGTCGGGGTTTATTTTGGTTTTTGGGGCATTTTGATTTGTTTTTGGGTTTTTTTAATGTCTGTTCATCTTCTCCATTATAGCTTTCTAGTACTCAGGTCTATAAATTATTCTTCTAGGGCAATTTACACTTATTAAGTACTGGACTTGTTCTGTGCATAACAAGTTTTTGGATTCCACTTCAGAGGCCACATATCTGATAAGCATTGAAGTAACTCATTTACAGCTATCTAAGTCCTAGTGTTGGGTCTGCTCCTAAATAGAAAATTGTACCAGCAAGATATTATTTTCATTTAGCTAATTGCCTGTCTGGTACAGATAAGATCTGCATTTTATTATTTTATTCTGCAATCTTGTCTCCAAATGACCCATATGCCTTCCTCCTCCAGACTTTTTTGAAGATTTTGATGTCTTAGGTAATGTGCAGTGAAACTGTACATTAACTGTACTTCATACATGAAGTAAGGTCCTGGTAGTTAACAGTGGAGAAAAACTGATCTGTGCTAACTTCTGGATATCCATAGGAGTTGAGCTGCTTAGGGAATGCAGCAGGATCATTGGCTGTTGAAGAGACAGATGCGTTTATTTTCATTAACAATATTGTTTCAATGAGCTTTTTGATTTTTAAGGGCCAGTTTTCTTGTCCATCAGTAAAAAAGCATCCCCACATTTACCAAACATTTAGTTTGTGTCCTTTTAAACATACTCAATTTTATAATTTGTTTAGAAGTGTTGCCCTATAGTGAGAAATTACATGTGGCAGTTGTGGGACAGGATAAACTGAATTTCCTTTTCTGTTTTAATCTGCATTATCAATAAGACATTTCAATATGTAAGTTGATAAAAATCTATGGAGGATATACATTTCTTTCTGAAACCAACTGCCAGTTACTGATCTTTGGCATTTCCCAGGAGCTTTTATAACAATATAGCCTTTTTCATCTTGAAAAAGCAGGCCTGTTATACAGCAGCACTCTGGTACTCCTAGTTCCTAAATAATTCACACAGAAGAAAGAATAAAATTAGAAAATCTGTTATACCAAGACAAAACTGGAACATTTGTGTCAATATTTCCTCTGAAGGCGGTCATGGCACCTGAGGGAATATTCAGCTCCTACTCTCTGTCACCACCAAGGCAGGTGGACCCACATCTTTGATTTTTGGTCAAATGAGATCCACATGGGTGTGGATCTGAGTTATAACCATCTTTACCAATGTAATACTTCTCATAAGACATCAATATTTTAATTCTCCTAAATAAATGGAAATTGTAGTTCTTAGATTTTGGAAGTGAACACACTGAAGTCATTGCATAGTTGTCTAATTTTTAAATATATGCTTGTGTGTCTGTATACGGAGGTGCTTACGCTGAAGTATAAACTGCTGCATGATGTTAGGCTCACCCCTTCCTCCCTCTAATTTCCATTGTTTGAGTACTTCATTGGGTTTCCCTCCATTGTTAGAGTCTACAGTCCAGAATGCTGGTTTAGGGCTACTTAGGCATGACAGTGCTTGACATCAAATGGACAAAAAGTGCTTGACATCAAATGGACAAAAAGTAGGTGTTGTTTGTGTAAACAGAGCTTTAATATTGCCAGTGAGAACATATGGCTTTTTGAAGGTATTTTTTCAAGTGTACCTCCTGCATTTCAACTGATAACCTGCCTAGCATGTTGTGCTGACATTGTCAGCTGACAGCATACCACAGATTGTTTGGCTTAATTACATAAGACAGCATAGTTCAGAAGATGTAAGCATGCTTTATTCAAAACACAGAAGGGTTCATATGAATGAGGTGTCCAAAAGCACAAAACAATCTAGCTATGGCATGATTTGTATCAGAAAATATGATGGATAACAAGAGGTAATCAGTGTGAAAGAGCTAATCATTCCTGTATTTTGCTTTGCACATGCATGTTAAAGTGGCCTGAAGAAATTCCCATTGTAAGTAGTGCATAGTTAAAGAATTGAGCTAAAGGGAATTAGAATCATGACTAGAAGAAAAAATGTTTTGTGTTGACTAGAAGAAAAAATGTCTGTGAAAATTCAGAATACAAGTATGGAAATGTATCCTAAGGAAGTCTTCAAAGGCCTGTACTTGTCACACAACAAGAAACATACCCACTCCAGTCTTTGCTAGTGTAGTTAATCTCCTGATACTCCCTGCTTGCTGCTTCTTTCATAATAAGGCTGTCCCTGGAACTGATGGTGGTCAAATAAACCTGTGTTTGTACCTTGTTCTTCCCTAACAGGAGACTCCCCTAATTTGATGATCCACTGGAGTGTCATCCCTGGTGAAATGTACAGCTGTTACAGCTCTAACTTTGACTATCCGCAAATGGCTCTGAAGCAGGAGCTGCAGCAGTTTCCCTGAAAGTTTCCATAGCTCAGCTTTCACTGCTTGCACACAGATTTTGAGTATAGAATGAATTGTGAAGTATGGCAACAGAATTTATTTCTAGAAGCAACTGACAAAAATATTTAAATATATATATTGGTTACTTTGGGGGTTTTTTTTGAACAATTAAACCACCAAATATGTTCCATGAGTCTGACTTCTGTCACATGTAGCAACTGTAGAACTCTAAAAAGTGATCCATATTTTCAGGATTATAAATATTTATTTAATAATGGTGAATTTTATCTGACAGCTATGGTTTCAAAGAAGAAAGCACACACCAAAAATTCTCTCATATACAGTGAAATTTTTACTTTTTAAAAGTGTTTAAAAAGTCCTGCAAAGAAAAACTGTGTACATGCGTGAGGGAGAAAGGAGGAGGAGTGCTGCTTTTACTGTTGTCAGCTTCTGATGCATGTATACATCTGACAGTAAAAGATCTTTGAATAATACTGTTTCTGGTTGAATTTATGATGAAGCTCTGCAGAATCGATGGAGCCAGATAATGTTTATGCTTATCCAGCTTTTCTTGTTATTCCAAAGCCTGCTCTATCCACTTACATCCATTTGAACAGCTTGCTGCTTAGACAGTTCTACAGCGATTTCCCAGAGTATCAGTGAAAAAAGACTATGCCAGATTCTGCTTCAAATTAATATACTAGCCCCTTTTTTTTCCCAGAATTTTGGCCTTTTTTTTTTTTTTTTTTTTTTTTTTTTTTTCAGGCATGCATGGGAGAAAATACTGAGCAATCACATGTTTTCAGTCATAATATGAATCTGAAAGTAAGCACAGAGAATTATTTTAAATTGGTGTTAGTCTGATTAAAAGTTTAGAGTAGAAAATTAAAAGTTTAGAATGGAAATGATACAAGCTTTGCCTCAAAGTTAGCTGTGGAAATGTGAGCAACGTTTTCATGGTAAAATCTTCTCAAACTCACCTCAAGCCACTTATTAAACTGATTTAACATTCCGTTCTGTTAAGTCTGATTCATACTGCTGAAATTTCTGTGGACAAAGAGAAAAGAGGATGGAGAATTTTGGTTGTTCCAAAATCCCTGGAACTGATGAGGTTCAAATTATTGTCTGATGCATATTCCCAAAAGATTCTTGATGCAGTTTTGGTATTAAACCTCCCATAGTAACAATCTCACTGTATCTTTTGTGTATCTCTGATACTTGTACACACATTTAGGTTTCCTACATTTCGTCATGTCTGTGGAATTACGCTGTATATTCACTGCTGCCTAATGGCTTTGGAAAACCACAAAGCATGTCTGGTTAGCCAGGAAGGGTCCCAAGAGCCTGCTCCTCTCTTTTGGCCACATGTAAGAAAGAAGCTGGCCAGCAATAGAGGATTACTGCTGGTTGGCATGAAGAGAAGAATGGAGGAACTTCTCAGTAGCAGCTCCTTTGGCAGTGAACAGCAGTTAATTTCTGGAAGTATTTAAGATGTTTTATGAAGTAGTATGCAAGGACACAAGTTTACAGAGCTAATGCTTTTAACAGTTCCTGTCTACTATTGCAAGGAGTTAAGTGTTCCCACCTCAGCCAGAGGAAAGCACTTAGTGTACATTTTCTGTGTTGTATCTAAGGGGGGAAACAGATGAAACGTGAAATGTCATGTTTTAGCATCCTGAAGTACATTTCTTCTCTGTATTATCTCTGTACTTTCAGGAGCACTGTGCAGTGAATGAAGTAGACTGGACTAATGGGGTATTTAATGTGTGCATTACAAAATTAAAAATGATTCTCTGACTGATGGAGAGGCTTAGGGAACCTTTCTTCTAACAAATGAAAGATTGTATTTTAAATGCAAAGAAGTATGGACTTGCCAAACTAATATAAAAAAGTGTTTCTTTTCCCCTTTACCCACTTTTCATCTCTTCTTCCCCTCAAAAATAGTTTCTTTGCATGAGTCTGAAGTATTTTGATGTCTGACCTAGCCAACAGCAAAGGAACCTCAATCCTATCTTATTGCTAAGTGAGGCTAAAATCCATGCTGCAAAAATGAAATCAGTCTGTGCAAATTTATAACAAAAATGGAACTGATCCATCAATACCATGATTTAGCACTTCTAGACTGCTAGAGATGTTGCTGATTTGTATGAATCATTCTGTGGCAATTTTCATTCTAATCTAGTTATCCAAAACCTAGAATCCGAATGTTTGCAGTTTTTGGAGGTTTGAAGCTATTATAAGAACACAGCGTGATATTATTATGTCCACTTTTCAGTGAGCATCAAAAAAAGAATTGTGTTAAGTGATATGATGGAGTAAAAAATACCTATATGAAATAGAGTAGGTATTAGAATATTGGG